CTCGAAATCGTAAATGGACTGTCTTTCATCAGAGCTCACCAATGTAATGCATTTTTTGCTGGCGTCTTTACTCACGGATAAGAGTTCGTCCAGTGCTTCAGCGGTGTCCAGCAGGATGTGGTCACCTTCGGGGTCCACCCAGCACAGTCTATAATCTCCTGCAATATAGCCCAGCTGCGAGAGTTTTGCGATCAGAAGGTTGTAGTCAGCAACTGGGTCAGTTCTCGGGAAGTTCGCCGAGAAACGATGAGCGAAACGGTTGCCTCCATGGAACCACTTGAATTGCAATGCTACACCGGTGAAGTTCTCCTCTGAGCCAGCCATATTCCAAGCTATGAAATATCCAAGCACACAGACGCTGTTGCAGAAGAACTCAGGACAGCGATAAGATTGGCGGTACAACAACTGTGCCTCACTGGGCCTTCTGGCACCGCTTTATATAGAAGCTTTTCCCGTCCACAATCGATGCTCTTTTGCACTTCCACATCGATGACGCCAGCACCTCTCCAGCATCCACCACAAAAAGTGTGTGCATGAGCTAGCGATGGTGTTTGGGCAATGAGGGTTGGGGCGGGAAAGAAGGGTGCAAGAGCAAGGTAGCGAGGTGCTGCCTCGTTTCGAAAATGTGACTCACACTGTCGAGTGTAAACCAAAGTGCAGCAGCGCATGGAACGTCTTTTCGAAAATGTTGTTTTGGGCAAACGCGAGGTAGGCCTGCTGTTCAGGACACATTTAACTTTTTCTAAATGTATTTTCGAAATGTAAGTGTTTTTCGAATAATCCTGAGCAAATCAAAGTTTTTCATTTCGCACTCACAGGAGAACTTGTAATAAGGAATTTTTTAACGCTAGAAAAGGAGAAAATAGAAAGTTGAAGTTTTAGGATGATGGGGATATTAATATTGATATATGTGTATAAAAATATAAAATTATTTTAAAAAAAGAAACAAGAAATTGCCGTTAGTGACGAGTGTAAGACTGGCTGAAGTGTACCTGTCCCGTAGTTGTGAAGCGTGAAAACGAAACTGTCCACAAAATACTAATATTTAGTATGGTCAAGCTCAACGGGACTCGGCCGCAAACATGGTCTGAAATCCTATTGACTCGGAGTGAAGCTAGATTTATTTTGGTGGAGAATTAAAGAAGGAGGAAAGAAAAACAAGACTGTAGCTCTAAAATCATGTGGCATGAAACGTATGTCATGTTCTAAAGTCATGTAGAAAGGAATACGCAGGGTAGTCTACCTGCGCTTTATCTCTTAGCTTTAAACGCAAACAACAGTCGGGTGCGCTTACGGGCAAGGATTATCAGTAGAGTCCCCTAGCCACTACCTAAAAAAGTCAGGTGATATGGCTTTGGAAAGGAAGACGTAGAAAGTCATTAAGCTGTAGATATCAACGCTGCATATCTACAGATTAAGTACGATGGTTGTGATGTTGATAAAATAAATCCACGCTGGAGCGCATCGGGTGGCCCGTGCGATCATGCGTTTTTGCACCGGACTTGAATTACTCAGGTCATTAACTGTATGCATGACTCTTGCTTTATACTTACTTTTCACAGTCACTAGCATAAATCGCCATAAATTTTGCAAAGTAAATGTACAGTTTCTATCTAACGGTCGTTCTTTGAAAGTAACCTAGTTGTTCAGCGAGAAATTTTTTCGTCAAGGCTTTTGAGTGCCCGTACATAAGAACCACGCATACCTCAAGGCTGAATTTGAAATACTTAAGTTGTACTGGGACAGGGAAAATTCCCTCAACATTCCAGCTTTCTAGCTTTTCTGACTATCGAGTTAGCGATTTTCCCGCCAAAACCTTCACATGCCCGTATTTGGGTACTCCACGTGCCCGGAAAATTGAATTGGAAATTTTTAAATTGCACGTGGACAGGAAAAATCCATCTAAAACTTCATCCTTCCAGCTCTGCTGGCTGCCGAGTTAGTAATTTTCATGCAGGAAGTTTCATATGCCTTTACGTGAGCATCATGCATAGCTCGGGGCTGAATTTGAAATATTTGAGTTGTACTTGGATAGGGAACATTCCTCCAAAATTTCAGCTTTCTAGTTTTTCTGGTGTCCGAGTTAGCAATTTCCCCCTAAAACTTTCATACGCCCTTACATGAGTGCCACGAACATACCTGGGGGCTGAATTTGAAACCTTTAGCTAGTACATGCACGGGGAATATCCCTACAAAGTTCAGCCCCTTAGCTCATATGGTTTCCGAGATCGCTTTCCCACCAAAAAATTTGCATATTTTTTTAAAGCGTCCGTACGCGGCACCCAGGCGTCCGCGGGAGATGAAATTAAAACGATAGGGTCGCGCATGGTATAGGCACATATTACCAAAGTTTTAGTCTTCTTTCTGGTTCTCGAGTTGAAAGGGGGTGACAAAAAGTGCGAACACGCCGACACACACACACACAGCCTCCTCCCAATATGCGTTTTTGCAATTTGCATATGCGCAAAAACGCATGATAAGTAAAACGAAATAAATTTGTGTAAGAGAACAGGTTACAATTACAGAAAGTAATCCAGGTTGGAACGCACCAGACTCTCTGGTGCGAACATGCGTTTTTGCACTAAACTCGCAGATCGCTATTAGCAAAAATGATCCCTACACTGTAGTCTAACACTTGGGCTCATATTATCCGTGCTTTGGCCCTTTCCGGCATGTAGGAGAAAGGTCGTCAGTTGGAAACCCAGGCTGGAACGCACCAGGCGGGCCGGTGCGATTATGCGTTTTTGCACTTCTCGTGCC